CGGCGGCGGGGGCGCTGGAGCGAGCGGCGCCCCGGGAGGGGAAGGGGGGGGAGGGGGCCGCGAAGCGGCACCGCGGCCGGAGCGGCGGCAGCGCCATGAGGAGGCGTCGCTGAGGAGGCGGCGGCGGGAGCTGGCGCGGACGGAGCCGACATCTTGTGCCCTCCCCTCCCGCTGCCGGCTGGGTGAGCCCGTCCGCCCTGAGGGGGAGGGGAGGGGGGGCGGAAAGACACAGCAGCATTTGGGGGGGGGAAAAAAAAAAGCCCCCCCACAAAAAAGAAAGAAAAACAGCCCAAAGGAGGCGGCGGCAGCGGGGAGCCGGCACTGCGGCGGCCAGGTAAAGCACTGAGCGGGACGCCCTTCCTCAGGGGGTCTCTCCTCCCTCGCGCACTCGTGCCGGGGTCGCGCGAAGGTGACCGGGCGGGAGGGAAGGAGCGGGGGACGCGCGGGGTGCGGGCCGTGCTGTGCTCCCCAGCCCGCCCTCTGCGCACCGGCACTGCGGGARCGGCCCTTGGCCCCCGCGCGGCCGGAGAGGGCGGGCGGCCGCGGACAGSGAACGGACAGCTCCGTGTCAAGCGCCCCCCCCCCCTTTGCCGCCATCTTGCTCCCCCCTCCTCACGGCCGTCCGAGTGTCCCGCCCACCTTCTCCCACGCGATTGGCCCAGGCTGCGCCGAGGGAGCCCTCACCTTTATGCCTTGGGGGGGCGGCATTGATTTGCGATTGGTGCTGGAGCCGGGATGGACGGCGGGAAGAGCCAATAGGGGCGCGGCTCTGGCTGCGCGCCTTGTCGCGCTGCGGTGCTCCGCCCACACTGGGCTTGGGGACGTTTTTCGCTCTGCGGGAGGCTGAGGGCGGGCGCCGCTSACCGCGCGGCCCCGGGCCGCCTCTGTGCGCCGGGATCCCGCCGTGTCCCGGCCCGGGTCGCAGGCCGCTGTATGGGTGGGGGGTCCCAGCAGGGTTGCACAGTGCCGCTCCCTTGGGAGGCGCTCCCAGCTAGCAGCGCGTCCCTCGGCGCTGCTCGCCCTGGCGCGGCTCCTGTCGCGTCCCCGAAGCCCGAGCTTGCAGAGCCGCCCGTTGCCGGTGGGAGCCCGAGCTCCGGTGGGAGCCCCTGCCCCGGGCTGCTCGGACAGCGGAGGCTTTTCACTAGTCCCAATATCCGGACGCTGGCAGCTTCTTTCGGGGAACTCTTGGTCCCTTTTTAAGCATTCCAATCCCCCGGGGTCGGGCTTGTTTCATTGGTCGCCCTTGGAACCTGCAGGCACAGGTGGAAAAGCTGCTGCTCCAAGAGGGCCCTGAGCCCTTCCCGCCTCATCCCGGGAGGAGGAAGGAGGCTCTGGAGCACGGAGCCTCCCGCACTCGCCTCTTGCTCAGCGCTCGGCTCGTGCTTCGCTTTTCCAGAAGGCCGTAGGAGTGATACTTGGGGTTGTCTCACATTGATTGCCTCATTCTCCATGTCTTTTTTGCACTTATTTTCTTTGCTTATATCACCGTGAACTTTAAGAGAAGTTGTTTCTCACTGTGGTTCTGTTGCTGTTTTGTTTGCTGAACACTCCTTTTTCCTGTCGGTTGATGGCAGGAGCGCAGCAGGATTCTCTGCAAGCTCGTACACAAGTGGCTTGTTCACCTCCTAATACAGGGGACAAGGGAAAATCCCAATCTCTATTTGCCCAGTGTTTGGCCCCTGAAATTGCACTGTGCCCACAAGCTCCATACATATGGGACTGCTAATGGAAACCTGGGACTTTTTTCCATGGGTGCAAAGGAGCGTTTGGGAGATTTCCCCAAAAGTCCTGGGTGCGGGTGGCCGGCCCTTCCCGCACATGCTGCGGCGCAGCAGATAAGCCCCAGGCTCGCTTATCTGCCCGTGCAGATTTTGCACTCGCTTACCCCTTTCTCCTCAGGCTGTTTCTTCCCCAGCACCTCTTTTTCCGTCTTTCCTGTTCCCATCCCTGACGCTTTCTCCGTCCCTGCTCCCCGGTGTCCTCTCTGCTTGCCCTCTGTGCTGCTCTGGCCCCATCCCGGGCTGCSCGCCGCGTTTCCTTCTTCCCTCCTGCTCACCCGCCTGCCTCCCGCTTTGCTCGGCACCTCCTTAACGTGGGGCGGCCGGGCTGCGGTTATCAGGGCTGGCCGGGGCGCTGGGTGGGCGCTCTGGGTGGATACAGCCGCTCCGTTCCTGGGACTGCTCCGGCCGGGAGCCGTCTGGCTGCTTTCTGTGCGCGGAGCCGGCTCGGGTGCCGGGACACAGTGTTCCAGGGGAGCCAGTGCAGAGCCAGAGCCAGTAAGTCCATCCTGGATCTATGTTGCTTGTTCCCAGCTCCATCCCTAAGAAAGTGACACTGGAGAACAGATTTCCTTGCAGCTGCAGCTCTGCTGCTCTGGGAATTTCATACATCTGTGGCATGGGAAAGGAAGGGGTAGCAGTGGCAGCTGTCACATGCGAAGCGGTGCTCAGCGAGGCTAGGGCAGTTTGCTTGCATGGAGTTCGGGTCCCACCCCCCTGAAAAAAATTGGGAATTACCTGCCCTAAGGCAGGAACCGCGCTTTCCTGGAGCTCTGGAAGGCATCCAGCACATCGTGTGTGCTGCAGAGAATGAAAGGAGTAGTCCCAGCTGGAAAAAAACGGGAAAATCCTTTCACCTGTGTGAACTCATGTGCAGGCAGCGCGGGCGGGTGGAATAAGCGTTACTTGATTTTTCCAGGGATGAAGTTTTGCTGGGACAAAGTTGTGGTGGAGCCGCTTCCATGCGGGAGGGTGAAGGCGTGTGGGCAGGCGCGGGGCAGCCGCGGTCGGGGCCGGACRCTGCGGGGCGGTGGCAGCGGTAGCTCCCGTGCGTCCCTGCGTCGCAGTGCGGTCTTGGGCGGCTCCCGCGCATCCCCGCTCCGCAATGTGGCCTCACGCCACGCTCTGCCCTTGCTCACAGGGCCTCCGTGCGGCTGCCATGAGGAAGCCCCGGAGGAGGCCGCGGCTGCGCGCGGAGCAGGGGCGCTCGCCCTCGCCCTACGGCCTCCCCTGCTCCCCGGCGCGTGAGACGCTCACGTACGCCCAGGCGCAGCGCATGGTGGAGGTGGACATCGACGGGCGGCTCCATCGCATCAGCATCTACGATCCCTTGAAGATCATCACCGAGGATGAGCTGACTGCCCAGGACATCACGGAGTGCAACAGCAACAAGGAAAACAGCGAGCAGCCCCTTTTCCCTTCCAAATCAAARAAGACACCTTCGAAAGGCAAGAAGAAGGAGTCGTGCTCCAAACATGCTCCAGGGACATCTTTACATTTACCCCAGCCCAACTTCCGTGTCGTGGACTCCTTCAGCCAGCCAGAAGCCCTGGCTCTCCCCGCTGCCTACTACCGGTACATCGAGAAGCCCTCCGAGGACCTCGATGTGGAGGTGGAGTATGACATGGACGAGGAGGACCTGGCGTGGCTAGAGATGGTCAATGAGAAGAGGAGAGATGATGGCTACGGGACAGTTTCTGCTGACACTTTTGAGCTGCTGGTGGATCGGCTGGAGAAGGAGTCGTACCTGGAGAGCCGCAGCAGCGGCGCCCAGCAGTCCCTCATCGACGAGGACGCCTTCTGCTGCGTCTGCATGGAYGACGAGTGTCACAACAGCAACGTCATCCTGTTCTGCGACATCTGCAACTTGGCTGTTCACCAGGAGTGTTACGGCGTGCCCTACATCCCCGAGGGGCAGTGGCTTTGCCGCTGCTGCTTGCAGTCCCCTTCTCGCCCCGTGGATTGTGTCCTTTGTCCCAACAAAGGGGGAGCCTTCAAGCAGACCAGCGATGGGCGCTGGGCACACGTGGTTTGCGCCATCTGGATCCCGGAGGTCTGCTTTGCAAACACCGTGTTCCTGGAGCCCATCGAAGGCATCAGCAACATYCCCCCTGCTCGCTGGAAGCTCACGTGCTACATCTGCAAGCAGAAAGGCATGGGAGCCGCCATCCAGTGTCACAAGGTGAACTGTTACACTGCCTTCCATGTCACCTGTGCCCAGCGGGCTGGGCTCTTCATGAAGATTGAACCCATGCGAGAGACCAGCATCAATGGCACGACGTTCACGGTGCGCAAAACCGCCTACTGTGAGAGCCACTCCCCACCCGGGACCAAGGCGAGAAAAAGGTCTCCGGGTGCTGCCGGTGATGGGGAGGAGGACATTGTGAAAGAGGACAGAGGGGGAGAAGCCAAGTCTGGCCCTCCCAAAGGCTCCCTGAAAAAGAATAAAGTGAAATTGAAGCAGAAAATCAAAAGGGAGCCTGGTGATGTGGCTGGTGCGCGTTCGTGTTTGCCCATGGTGACAGTCACGCAGATCCCATCGTACAGGTGAGTGCTGTGGGTGCAACGCGCGTTCGAGGTCTCAGGCCCTCTCAGTGTTGAACTGGCCCATTGGAACACTCTCTTCATGCAGAACGTAGCAATAACCACATTCAAAACGTGCCCTACAGATCCCTTCAGATCCAGGCTTCTTCCCTGTGAGTGTCCGTGGCACTGGGGTCTCCCTGCTTTCCTTAGGAGCATTCCCAAGCCACAGAATAACATAAAACCCGGCCTCTGGAGGACTGAACTTTCAGGTTCTGCCCTTAGGTCCCTGATGTGTTGCCAGCGCTTCAGCAGCTCCGCCTTGGCAAGCAATCTAATGAGAGGGCTGAAGTAGATGCCGTGTTATTCCTGGCTTCCTGTCTAGTTAGATTTGCCAGACTCTAGTTTAGTAATATCAGTCTAAAATAACCCCCCCACTACATTTCTTGGCGATTAAATTGGCTCTGGAAGGTGGATGGGAGACTTCGTCTGGGCTGGAACCGATGTTTGGAGCTGCTGCTGGAATGGTGACATGCTGTGTAAGGTCAGGGCATGTGCAGCAGCCCTGGGTTGCTCCAGGCCGGCGCTGATTACACATGTAGGTCAGCGTGTGCATCATTCCAGTGTGGAAACCCGGCTGTGCCCCCAGGGTGCCCCCGAGCCTGCGGCCTTGCCCTTTGCCCCACGGCATCTCCTTGTTTTCTCCAGGCTGAACAAAATCTGCAGCGGCCTCCCTCTGCAGAGGAAGAACCAGTTCATGCAGAGGCTGCACAACTACTGGCTGCTGAAGCGCCAGGCGAGGAAYGGGGTGCCCCTCATCCGCCGCCTGCACTCGCACCTGCAGTCCCAGAGGACCGCGGAGCAGGTGGGACGGGGGATCCTTGTGCCCCCGGGGGGATGCGCTCGGTGCTTCAGTCTTCTTTGGGCTTCCTCTCGGTTTGTGCGTTGCCCGCGCTGTCGTGTGGTGGCCCGTGGTGGCCAATGTCCATCGTGCCACCAGCACTGGTGTTCATGAGCCAGCAGGTAGGAGTTTTCTCCCTGAGTCAGAACACCTGGGGTTTTAGAAGGGTGTGATGGTCCAGTGCTGGACCCATCTCCTGGTGAATCATAAAACCACATTCCTCACTAGTGATTAAAGATTCCCCTCCTCAAGAAAGTGGGCGTTAGCTGCAGAGCCGTGGCCAAATTCCAGTTTAGGTCATTCTTCCTGCAGCTTGGATTTCTGACCCAAGCACATTCATATGGATGTTTATATCCAAGCCTCAGCTCTACTTTTCTTCCTCTTCTGAGCTGGCGTCCAGGTCGCTCACTGCACTGCGCCTGGAAGTAGTTCTCTCTGCCCTGTAACTTAATTTTTTAATAGATATTGGGCCTGTTGTTCACATGTATTTTTGCTGTCAGAGGAATTTGTGGGCTTTGAGGTTTACATGAAGACTTCTCTGGAGGATTAATAAAAAATAATTTCCTGCTCCTCAGTCTGGAGCTTGGGGAAGTACAGAATTTTCCTGGTGTGTTAAGTTGGGAACTTAACCGTTGAAAAGTTCCTAAAAACAAATCATATGAACCACCAAAACTGGGGAGCAGCTGTCCTATATTAGCAATCATGAGGAAGCAGATACACTTCAGGTGTAACCTCAGGACCATTTGAAAAGCTACAGCCTTGGGAGAGGAAGGATATTTAATGTTGTGAAGCCACCAAACTCTGGCTTGGAAAGTGTGAGCTCATCTCCCAGCATTGGCTCTTACTTTGTTTCATCGCATCTTTGTGGCTCAATTTCCTATTCATTACACAGAAGATAACTTTTCTCCCGTACTTTTGCTTGCCTTTTTATTGTCAAGTCCTTGGACTGACTCATCTTTGCACAGTAACTCGGGAAAAGAATTTCCAGCCTCTGTAGATGTGGAAGCAGTGAGTGTGAGTGAGCGCCGCCAAAGTATGTTTGCAGGGCACAGCTGCAGCATGGGCCGGGGCATCACAGATAGCCTTTTTGGATGTTAATGCTATTATTAACAGCTTAAACTCAACCAGYTCTGTAGGAGGGAGGGAACACGGTCTAAACAGAAGTATAGAAGAAGACTCAGAGCTGCGTGTGGGGGAATCACCTAGAGAGGAGACACAGAGGCAGGGATGGTTTTTTGTCTAATGCCGCTGTTATGTGTTGCAGAAGGAGCAAGATGAGAAGACCAGTGCGGTGAAGGAAGAGCTGAAGTACTGGCAGAAGCTGCGGCATGACTTGGAGCGGGCCCGGTTGCTCATTGAGCTGATCCGGAAGAGGGAGAAGCTCAAACGGGAGCAGGTAGGTAGTTTGGTTGTCAAGCTGCTGYGCTTGGCTTCAGCTCCATGCACCCTGTTCTGCAGGAGGCAGAGGAAGAGCACAGCAGTTCTTCTTAAACCTCCTGCTCTGGTCCTAGACTTCTGGCCATGGAGAGCAGCTTGACTCGTGCAACCTCAGCACGTAGCCTGGGTGCCACCCTGTGCCGTGTGCTCTGGGTGCCCCTGCTTGAGCAGGGGGGTTGGACTAGGTGATCTCTAGAGGTCCCTTCCAACCTCAACTGTTCTGTGGATCCCCTAGTAGCCTGGCCAGTGRCTTGCATTGCTCCATCTCTGCCCTCAGAGCCAGTGTTGGGCTGTGAAGGATTGCCAGAGGCGTAACTAACTGAATGCTCATCCTGACCTGCAACACCACTTCTCATCCTGGCCTGGACCAGGTGTTTTGCAGAGAAGAACCTAGATCGCCTTTTAAGGTTTATTGCAGGCGTTTTGTAGCCACCACCCCAGAGAGGTCTAGATCATAGGTCTACTCGTCATTTCTAAAGCTAAGAGCTCCTGTGATTTGCCTTTCTACTGCCTTTTCCTGAGAAGAAACAGCTTTCAGACAGAGATCGCCTACTCAATTTTCCAGTTTCTTCTTTGACCCCTATTCCGTTCTTCAGCGTTGCACCAGTTGCATCATGCTTAGCAGCTTTGTCCACTGAGGGCCCCTCTTAGCCTGTATCTGGATGGACGGAGCAGCCACGTCTGTCCTGCGTTGCACACGTGTCTTCAAGGGCAGCTTTGTGAAGGCCTCGCTTAGCCTGTGCCCAGCAAGCTGGGGTGCAGGTTAGGCCTGGGCGCGTGTCCTCAGGCACCAGCCCTTGCTCTGCTCTGGGCCTCTCTGTAAGGAGCAGGACAGCAGGGTCCTGGCCCATCTAGATGCTGCGCTTTGGTTGCCAGAAGGGGCCTCCAGCTCTTCCTGTGGTTCTCTTTGTGCCAGCACTGATGGGCAAAATCACCTGGCCCTGGTTTTACAGCAGGGGCTCAGTGCTGCTTGCTATTGAAGAGGTTTAATGACACAGGAATAATAAGACCAAAGAAATGAAGGTGCTAAAGGAGAAATACAGCTCTCTATACTATTCATAACATAAGCTTTCCACCAGTGTCCAGAGCTGGTGTGTTGATTGAGGAGGGCCTGGGAGGGCCTTGTGTACGTTGTTCTCAATAACGTTGTTGCTTGCCGTTTCCCTGCTCGCAGGTGAAGGTTCAGCAGGCTGCCATGGAGCTCCATCTGACCCCTTTCAATGTCCTTCTGCGCACAACGCTGGACCTGCTGCAGGAGAAGGATGCTGCCCAGATCTTTGCCGAGCCCGTTAACCTGAATGAGGCAAGTCCCTTTCCTAGAAGTGTCTAATGGGCTGGAGATGAGGTATGGCTGGGCAGCAGCTCACATCCTGTCCTACCCGTGGAAGCCCAAACCACCTTGTCCCAAGCTGCTGGTGGACTAAAGAGTGTCTCAAAGAGGACTCCCAATGTGGGTATCCTTCCAGGCCCAAACRGTGGTGTTTTCTGGAAGCTTCAGCGCGTCTCAGACAAGTAGTGTTTTGCCGAGGCAGGATGTGTCTGGTTTGACTGGGTGACACAGAAAACAACTGCTGGCACTGCCCCTGGCAGGTGGACAGGGCGTTGAGACTGCTTATGATGGATGCACTCTAGTTGGCTAGTAAATGGTTTTTGTAATTGTACAGGTTTTATATGTTTAGGTTCCAGATTACCTGGAATTCATTTCCAACCCAATGGATTTTTCCACCATGAGGCGGAAGCTGGAGTCCCACCTGTACCGAACGTTGGATGAGTTTGAGGAAGACTTTAACCTTATAGTTACCAACTGCATGAGGTATAATGCTAAAGACACCATTTTCCACCGAGCAGCTGTCCGACTCCGAGACCTCGGAGGAGCGATTTTGCGTCACGCACGGCGGCAGGCCGAAAGCATTGGCTTTGACACTGATGTGGGGATTCACCTGCCCGAGTCACCCAAAACCAAGGACTTTTACCGCTTTTCTTGGGAGGATGGTGAGTGCTCATTAAGCTTCGTTTTCGGCCTAGGAAGGGGCAGGTCACAACCGTGTTCTTCGTTTTGGCCACGTTACTCAGCCTGCCTGAAAATGGTAGCCGTCATTCAACACAGGAGTTTTTTTCCTATCCATCTACTTGCCAAAGCACACATTTAACTCCTTGGTAGGCTCAGAGAGCAGGATTTCAGGTGAGCCCAGTGCTCAGAGCTGGATGCAGCTTTCGGAAGATCCCAGCTCCTCTGTYCCCCGCTCTGAGCGCTCTGCCTGTCGCGCGGGGAGAGGATGGCTGCTGAGCTCCCTCGGCAAATCCAACCTCCACGTTAATGTCCAAGTGCGAGCGAAAGCTGCTGCAAAGCTGCTCCAGACTGTGGGTGTTGATGTGTGAAAAAGGACCAGGTATCCCTTGCGAACTGTGTGTTCCCATTGTGCCCTTTGGAGTCGAGGGAAGTTCCTGCTGTCTGGTGAGGAATGGAGGCAAGGAAAGATTAAGCCCCAGTTTGAGGGAATTACTGGTATAACTGGATACTGGATTCTGTTCTCCCGTGTCTCTATTCCAGTGCTTTTATCACAGGATCAAGCATTTGCTGTTTGCTTTGTGCCGTGGTTGCGATACAAACTTGGTGTTTTAGAGAACAATGTGCAGGTGAATTRGTGCTGCTTACCTTGTGCTTGGCTATTGACCCGCAGTGGGGTCCGTGACTGCTGGTTTAAGAGGGTGCAAAGCAAAGTTTATTTCATTGCAAAGCAAAGTTGATAAGTTAGCATTTGTTGGTGGTGGTTCGTTACAGAGCCAACCCTCAAGGGCTGGATAGGACTGCGTTTTCCATCTCAGTTTTTTTATTTTCCTTGATTACAACTGTGGCAAACAAGCAGAGAGACCTGAATGGGAAAAGTGCCTAGATTTCACCCCTTTTCTAGGATTGCGCCTGAAAGGCAGAACCTTTCCGGGTAGGCGACACCAGGGCAGGGTGCCAAGGCACTGAGGTGGCTGCAAGACGGGGGACGGGAGGGATTTTGTAGGGCCCGGCACCCTGCCCCTTTGTAGGGCCCGTGGGGTCTGTGGTGGGCTGCGATGGCTGCCTCCGCTACCTGTCCTGCTCCGGTGGGTGCTGATCTTTCAGAATGGCAGACGTGGTGGTTTTTTGGCCACCCTCCCGTTTCATCATCTGACTCAGTAGCTTAGTGCGGCGACGAAATGGGTTTCTTCTAAGAACCCGTGCTGGGAGCTGGATCATGCAGGGTGCACACTAAGTCACAGCTGCTTTGGCCCCATGGAGGGATGTCCAAACTCTAAGGTTAAATGTTCCTCAGCACCATCATTGAGGACATYGTTGGGAAGGGGCATGGGTCACTGGGAATTCTCCCGGGGGGCAGTCTTGCTTCCTGCTGCYAGCTCCGCGGTCACTGTCGCCATCTCTTCTGCTGCAGTGGATAACATCCTGGTGCCCGAGAACCGGGCCCACCTCTCCTTGGAGGTGCAGCTGAAGGAGCTGCTGGAGAAGCTGGAYGTGGTGAGCAGCATGCGCTCCAGCGGCGCCCGCACGCGCCGCGTCCGCCTCCTGAGGCGCGAGATCAACTCCCTGCGCCAGAAGCTGGCCCAGCAGCAGAGCCAGGGCCTGCCCCACGGCAAGGGGCAAGAGGGCCCGGATGAAGCATCGAGGGAAGGGGAGAGAGGTGAGAYGTTGCGGGAGGACTTGAGGGCTTGTGGAGGCCGTCTCAGTGGTCGCATCTCTCCTTTGCGCTCCAAGGTGCCAAAGGAACGTGAGCTCAAGAGCTTAAGTCTTGTTTCCAGCTCTATCAGATGACTTAATGCGTAGTGCTGTGCCTGCCTGCTGTCTGCCCTTAAGGGAGAGCAGGATGTCAATGCCTGTTCCCAAGAACTGCCCAAAGAAGGGCTGCTCTGCAGGTGGCATCCAGGGGGTTCCAGTGCCACTGCCACCTCTGTAGTGGGTCTCAGGATGGCAGGGGTGCTGGCTTGGTCCCATGTCTGGAGGAAATTGAGGGGCTTTTCTGAGAGGCTTGGGTCGGCAAGAGCAGCAGAGGGAGAGAAGCTAAAGCGCAGAGCCTTCCTCCTCTTACACTCACAGGGTTYCCCACAAAGGTCGAGTTACAGGGGCAGCCGGGCCTTCCTGTGGGTTCTTTTTCCTCTGCTGTTAGGAAGGGTACAGAGAGCGACTGCAGATCGYGGAGACAGATGCCAGTTTTGGGGTGAGGAAAGGCCGTGTTAGCGGCCTGGCAGTTGGCACGGGCTGCTTCCTGAGTCGGTGGCCTTGCGCAGAAATGGAAATCACACTTCCTAAAATGTTCATGCAGATGCCCTCTTCCTTTGGCAGATGAGGCCAGGCTGCGGCATCCTCCCACCCTGGAGCCCACRGGCCCCGTGCCCTCGCTTTCGGAGCTGGATTCCCTGCAGGAGCCTCCGATGCTGAAGCCCATCCACGAGAGCGGGTCCTTGGGTGTGCCGCCCAAGCGGGTGGTGGCGGACGGGGAGCTCTTCGACAGGGCGACGCTGCAGCGGGAGAGCCAGGCCTTCCAGCGGCTGCTCAGCGACAACGGCCTCAACGGGCTGGCCCTGCCCGACGCGGCCGCTGGGCCCCCGTTCAGCGGCGTTGGCCGCCGGACGTCCGTCCTGTTCAAGAAAGCCAAGAACGGCGTGAAGCTGCAGAGGGGCCTCGAGGGCTCCCTGGAGAATGGCGAGGAGGCCGCGCGCCCCGCGCGGAAGCGGCCGCGGAGCGGGAGCTGCAGTGAGAGCGACGGCGAGAGGTCGCCCGGGCGGGCGGCACGCGCAGGTTCGTGGCCTTACTCCTTTCTCTGCCCTGGGCAGCTGCTGCATGGGTGGCTGTGGGGTGCAAATCACGAGGCTGCGTAAAGCTCGACCCAGCTGCTCTAACCAAAGCGCCCAATTAAGTGTCTCTGTGGAGTCTGACCACAGCCTCCGCCCTGGGGAACGGATGGAGTCAGTGGGAGAACTGAGTAGATCCCTTTTCCGATTGACTCTTGGCTCTACGGCTCTTGGAGTCATAAGCAAGACTGAAACAGCTGAGCTCATGTGGCCTCAGCTCRTTCGCCCGGGCAGTGCAGCACGGGCAGGGAGCTTGGGTGTCCTGTGCASAACGGGATCAGTAACGGGCTCTGTTTTTCCTCCACAGCAGGAGTGACCAATGGTTTTGGGAAGCACCTGGAAAGCGGCTCCGACTCGGAGGGCGGCCCCGGCCTGGGCGCCGGGCCGGTGCTGGATGCACACGGGTAAGCGCTCCCAGCACACTGCTCCTGGGGTTAATCTCCCTTTCTCTATAATCCACCCTTAAAACCCACCTCACACTGTCACTCATTTGGTGTGCCAGCTTCAGAGATAAAAAGCTTCTCAGGCTCCGTCCTTTCCTCTTAGGCTGCTGGTCCCAAAGCAGCGCTTGGTTTTTCAAACAAATGTTTTACACTTCACACACTCTTTGATTCCTGTAAGACCTGACACTTGCAAGGGTGTCTGGACACTTAAATCACGAGGTTCCCCGTGCGTAGCCGTCCTCAAGAGCTAATTTAAGGCTAATTGCTTTGTTACAATTACACTGCAGCAGGTTGCATCCCAGGAGCACTTTTTACGTGAAAACTTCACAATACCGAGTGATCCTGAATGTTACCTCTCGGAAGATGTTYATAGTTCTGCAGCTAAGCTGTGCTTAGCTGTTCAGTGGGGACGTGTTGTGAGCTGCGGTGTGTCACTCCTTACCTGACTACAGAGGGTCCCGTTTGCTGCAGCTTTCYCATATGTCAGAAAGGGAGGCGAATCTGCGCTCGCAGCGGGGCGGGCGGTTGTTGGCTGATGTTTGTGAAGTACTCGGTAGATGAGAAGTGGCCTGTAAGTGCTAGTAGCGATTGCAAGCAGTTCACACAGCAAAACTTATATGGGAACTGTGACACCCACTAAACCAGGAATTAAAACAAGCCCATTCTCAGGGATAACTTAGGCTATTTGGAAGCAGATCTGTCTACTGCCTTTTCTCTACTTTTTCTTTGTTAACAGCAAATTTCCTCTGAATGGACTGGTTACTAGGAGAGCCTAAATAAAAAATACCGCTAAGTATTAGCAAGTCAAAACCCAGCATGGCTCGAGATGGAGAGGATCTGTTCTCTGAAGTGTTGATAGCAATGAAATAAAAGGATGTTCAGGACTACCTGATACATTAAAGTGGCGTTAGAGGGCTGCTCGTTTGGCTTTCGGAGCCTCTGCGCAGCCGGGTGAGCTCCTGCTCATCCAGAGCTTCGCTGCGGCAGCTCTTTGGCCCAGGATCTTTGATGCTTTTACCCTCCTGTTTTTAGGTGGGTTTTCATTAAACCCATTTCATTGCTCCTGGAGGAAGCAGGACGATGTCCAGTGCACTTGCATCAGCACAGACGCACTGATAATGTTTTGCTCAAGCATCCAATGTTTTTTTCATTGAGAAAGGAGACCCAGAGATGGGTCAGTTTGGTAATTTTCTGGTATTCAGACAGCGGGGGAACCCGTTTGTTGGCTGTGTTTTCCAGCCTAACATATTTTCCCTTTTCCCCTTCTCTCTGACAGTGGCTTGATGCCGCCCAAGCGAAGCCGAGGGAAACCAGCCCTGACTCGGGTGCCCTTCTTGGAAGGTGTCAACGGCAGCTCCGATTATGGCAGCTCAGGTGAGGAAGCTGCTGGGGGAGCTCCTGCTTCGGCCTCGCGCTGCCACAGGGCTCACGTCACTAACCTGGGCAAGCAGATCCTGGTGCTTCTGTTCTGCAGGAGCTGCCACGACTGCAGGATCAGGCTGGTGAACTGCCCCTGGCACTCACCGGCTTCCTTACAAAGTCAGGTTGTTGCATGAAGGGTGTTTCTTCCTTTCACTCCTGCTGGTCGCCTGTGCCTTGAAGGCGCCTGTTGTCTTCTCAGATGGGTTTGAGACTAGTTCTTTGTAATGACACCGCATTGAAACCAGCAAATCATAGTTATAAGAGGGGTCTTATGTGGCTCGCCTGACCACGTGCTCGCCTGGTCCAGGTAGGGCTATTGCAGGGTCCCRCTGCGGGCGCGGAAATCAGGATCCAGCTCTGCCCGTCTGCACGGCTCCTATCGCCCTGGCATCCACTGCTGCTATAAAACTCACCTTAATGAGGACTTGTCCTTTTCCAGGGCCGGGAGCTACCAGACGTGAATAGTTATTCATTCCTGAATAGGCATTTTGCAACACTTTTATATTGYGGGAAAAAAAAGAGAGAGAACTAATAAGAGTTTTGTGCACAGGAGCTAACTATTTCCCAAAGGGATCAAACACCCCCAAAATATGTGACATGAGAGCAGTCTGGTTATTTGTATTTAGGAGGAATTCAGGAACCCTGTGGACAGTGGTCCAAATGAGTCTCAGCTATGGCTTTGTCAGCTCCACCAAGGATGGATCTGGCTTGCTGGAGCCTAATGGCATCCCTTGCATGACCTGGCTGCTTTCTGTGGTGTAGAAGCCCTTCACACCAGAACCGAATCTGATGACTATTTCCATTTTAAAGAATTCACCCTAGCAGCACATGCACACACTGGCTTTGCTGGACCCCTGAACTGGGAGCCTGTGACTTTATCTTAGTATAAACCATGACTGTCCTGGCAAAGTGTAAGAAAGGCTGGGCTCTCAGCATGGCAGGGTAAGTGCCACCRCACGTGAGCGCACCGGCTTTCTGCATGTGCTGCTTCTTTCATCACCTGCGTGGGCAGACACAAGTGCAACATACAGTTACAAACAAGCGGCTTTTCGTGGTGRTCTGGCTCTTAGTTGCTGCTGGGACTGGTGCTCAGACCCTCTCTTGTCTCCTTGTGACCCCTTAGGCAGGACTCTCCTGATGTCCTTCGAGAGTCAAGCCAAGCTGGAGCCCTTGGAGCTCGTGTGGGCCAAGTGCCGTGGTTATCCCTCCTACCCTGCCTTGGTGAGTTCTCTCCGGTGCTTTTCAATGTGCAGCTTGTGAGCTGGACCTCCTGCCATCTCCTCTCCGTGCAATTTCTGCATGGCTGCAGCCACCCCCTTAAGAGCTTTGTGGTTGGCTTTGCTAGGGTGGGCAGAGCCTGTGAGCACCCCAAAAGCGCCGGGCTACGATTCCCAGTGCCAGCCCCTGCCCAGGCCGAGCAGCTGCTCCAGGGCTGGTGGCTGCACCCTGCCTGGCGCCAGCTGCCCCCATCGCCACTCCCAAAGCACCCATTCCACTCCAGGGGCAGCCTGGAGCCGAGCGGTGCCGTGCAAGGCAGCGGCGTGCGGGACTCGCGCGGAATCTCGTTTGTGTCCTTTCCTTTTTGAGATCAGGTTCTTGGCTTCCTCAAAGTGTTGCCAGTGCCGTGAGGGCAAGAAAACATTCTAAAAAGAGCYTCCCGAAATGGAGCGGGCCATTTCCCGAGCCAGCCCGAGTGCTCTTCATGGCAAAGACTGCGTGAAGAGGAAAGATGAACCCGCTGCACTGTTCTCGTAGAAGCCGTGCTGACGTTTCCTTCCCCCCTGTCACTAGATAATCGACCCCAAGATGCCGCGGGAGGGTCTGCTGCACAACGGTGTTCCCATCCCCGTGCCCCCCGCGGAGGTGCTGAAGCTGGGCGAGCAGAGGCAGACGGAGGCCGCCGAGAAGCTCTTCCTTGTCCTCTTCTTCGACAATAAGAGAACCTGGTGAGCGGGAGGGAGGTTGCAGCTGTGGCAGAGAAGGAAGATTTGGCAAAACCTTCGGTATCTGGGAGCATGCAGGGATAAGTGTTATGTGCCATTTAAATCGGGGCTTTAAATATGCAGCAGAGCGTAACCAAGGAAGGCAGTTGGCTTTTCCCTGGCCCAAGAGCAGGGTGTCTGAATGCCCCCCTTGCACCATGACCTTCGTTACGCACCCGGGCTCGTGTCACAGAATCACAGAATCTTCAAGGTTGGAAGGGWCCTCTAGAGATCATCTAGTCCAACCTTCCTGCTCAAGCAGGCACACCTAGAGCATGTGGCACAGGGTGGCATCCAGGCGGGTTTTGAAGACCTCCAGAGTAGGAGACTCCACAACCTCCCTGGGCAGCCTGTTCCACTGCTCTGTTACCCTCACGAGGAAAGAAGGTCCTCCTCACCTGGAGACGGAACTTCTTATGCTCCAGCTTATGGCCATTACCCCTCGTCCTATCACTGGCCACCAACGAGAAGAGCTTGTCCCCTTCCTCCCTGCATTCTCCCTTCCTGAACTTATACATGTTAATCATATCCCCTCTCAGCCTTCTCTTCTCCATAGAAAACAGGCCCAACTCAGTCTCTCCTCATAYGAGAGATGTTCCATTCCCTTAGTCATCTTAGTTGCTCTCCACTGGACCYTCTCTAGGGGCTCCACGTCCCTCTTATACTGAGGAGCCCAGAACTGCCCCCAGTACTCCGGGTGCGGCCTCACCAGAGCTGAGTAGAGGGGCAGAATCACCTCCCTTGACCTGCTGGCAACAACTTCCTGATGCAGGCCAGGATCCCATTGGCCTTCTTGGCCACGAGGGCACACTGCTCACTCATGGTTAACTTGGTGTCAACCAGGACTCCCAGGTCCCTCTCYGTGGAGCTGCTTTGCAGCAGGTCGAGCCCTAATCTGTACTGATGCCTGGGGTTATTCCTCCCCAGGTGCAGGACCCTGCACTTTAGCGACTGCACTTTGCGTCGCTGCAAAATACTGAGGCATGTGAAGAACCAACTTCATACTTAAAATCTGCAGTAAGTTAGAGCCTGTTAAAGCAGAAGCAGGATGAGTAGCGAGTTCTGCTGTTGCAGAAGAGAGTCACTGAAATCTCCARGGTAGCCTTGTCGAAACAGGACGTTTCTTCCATGTTTAGAACCAAACCTGCAGCCTGATTTTTTGGAAGCGCTGAGTACCAGCATTTTTAAAATCAGGCTTTTAGGGGTCTTTCCGCTTTGCTTGGCCGCTGCTGAAGCCGGGATGTGGGTGGGTGGTGCTTTCTTAARCAGCTGCTTCTTAAATCACTGGCTGCAATTTGTGGGACGCTGACTTCCCAGGAAGTCGGAATGTGCTTCCCGGTGCTGCATCTGGGTCCTGCCGACTTCCGTGAAGCCGCAGAAGCAGCAGCAGAGCTTGCTTGGCACAGAAAAAACTTCTTTCCCGCAGGGTTGCTCCTGGTTGTCCCGCTCGGTGGGACGCAGCTCTTTCCCCTCACGCTCCTCAGRGTCCTGCGAGGCTCCAGGAGGCCGCAGAGTGGCTGGTGCAGGCCAGCGTTCGGGCTGTGCGTGTTGGCTTGCTGTTGGAGCGCTGCTTTGGTGTGCTCAGATGCCGGCGTTGAAGCATCTGCAGCACCAGCGTGGGGCGTTAATGATAAAGCACRAACTCTGGGGGCTGGTGTAGCTCGAACTCAACGCTAAAGGGGAAAGGTGGCAGAGTTGGAGGCCTTGGCCGTGTCCTGGGGRCACTGGTGTGGGGCACAGGTGTGGGGCGCTTGTGCTGCCCTCCTGTGCTGCCCTCCTGCCCGCTGCCGGTGCTGACGCTCGCGCTCTGCTTTGCCCTGCAGGCAGTGGCTGCCGCGCGACAAGGTCTTCCCGCTCGGGGCCGATGACACCGTGGACAAGCTGAAGATGCTGGAAGGCCGCAAGAGCAGCATCCGCAAGTCCGTGCAGGTGGCCTACGACCGCGCCATGGTTCACCTGAGCCGCGTGCGGGGTGATCACCCCTTCGTCCCCTCCAGCTACCTGTAGGGGACAGGGTCGTTCGCGCTTCCATGGGGCTCCTCGAGACACCCGTTTATGTGCCAAAAAGCCAAACCTGCCCAGCGCCCTCCGGAGTGCGAGCAGCCTGAGAGCTGKCAGCATTGGGGCCGGCCCGACCCCGCAGCCAGGAGCCAGATGGTAGGAAGAGCGTGGSGGGGAGGCGGGGCGCAGCTTCTGCGCCCTCCCCGGCCTCCTCCGGGCGGATTCGGTCATTCCCGGGAGCCCGGGGACCAAAGCAGGATCCTCTAGCGAATTTCCACCYGGATTTTTCTCGTGCCAAATTCACCCTGACCGTCACAGGCCTTTTGCTTCTCACTTTGTTTTGACCGCTCGGGACTGCTGGCTCTCCCATGCTGGGACCAGCAGCAGCCTTCCCCTGTGCCCGCACGCATCTGCGCCTGCATAGAAGCTTTAAATAGGAACATGGCATTTTTCTCTTCCTTTCTTTTGTGTGTGCGCCCGCGTACGTCCTAGAAACTGCTTTGCTCTTTCAGCACTCTTTCAGCATTCGACTCCTGCCTTCTGTGACTCGTTCTAGGCACGTTTCATGTCTCAGTCCAGCGCAGTATTGAGCCGAAGCAAAGGGACCGCTGTCACCTGTCGGGCCCCAGCACTAGCTCTGCGGCGCTCGAGCCACTCGCGGGCGCCGAGGTTGAGCAGGGCCGGAGGGAGATGTGTCCCTGGCGTCGTCCCTGTGCCCACCTGGCGTCGAGCCCCTCGTCCTGCCTCCCGCTGTGTCTCTTGTGCCGTGTGGCGCTGGCGCTTTGGGGTGCAAGGTGAACATGGAGCAGAGCACATGACCCCCTGCCTTTCTGTCCCCTCCTGCACATGCTCCTCCCTTCCCCGGTGCTGCAAAAACCAGCGACACCTCATGGGGGGAACGTGGTGACAAAAGCTTTGCTACCAGCCAAGGACTCTGAGTTTCTCTGCTGTCAAGTCTCCCTTTTATTTTTTCCATTTGCTTTTCTCCTTTTTAAGAACCAAAGGTGCAGAGCAAGATTGTAGATTGAATATCATCATTTCGCTTTTGAACTCAGTATATTTTTATTATTTTAACTTTTTCATACTAAAGAGAATGTTGGGGGGGGTCAAAACAATAATAATAATTAATAAGAATGACTAGTTGGGGAGTAATCACTGCCATTTCTACTTGGTCTACTTTTTTAAAATACCACTTGTTATACATTGGGGCATGGATCCACACTTCAAGGAGAAACCTTGTAACATATCAACATGGGACATAGGATTTTGTAAAAAAATAATAGTGATGATGCCTCTGTGCGTGGCTAGGGAAGGCCATTGTGTACATAGTTGTAAAAATATTGTTCTAAATTATTTAGACCGATTGTCCCCATTCTTGAAGTCCTCGGTTGTGTTGCTGGGTCTTTTATATGCCCACGGTGTAATTTATTTAATGGAACATACACTTCTCTGGGGGTAGCTCAGCTGTGGACTCGTGACCTGTGTATATGTTTTAAGATCTCGGGATTTGGAATATTTTTGGTTTTTTGTTCTTATTATTTTTTTAATGACATTTTGGATTCGAATGGGCTCCTATCCTGCTGTTGCTACGGGACCTAAGCGTCATGTCAGTCTGCTGTAAAGCACAGATCGCTCTATTTATTGTAGAAAGTGAGTTTATTTGCTTTCTAGAATTGTTTATATCAGAGGGTATAAGAGAGGTAATTAAAAAGAAAAAAAGATCTATGCTTGTAAAGAAAGAAAGAAAAAAAAAAAGCTAATTTTACCTACTATAACCTGACTGTCTGAGACTATATTTTCTCTCTGAGAAATAAATGTTTTAATGTTTAAAAAAAAAAACCAAAAGAAGGAAAGCAGCGGCCGCGGTGGTGTCGTGTGAGGGCCAGGAATCTCCCTTGCCCTGTATTCCCCCTCTAAACCTCAAGAGTAGCCTCACTTCCCCTTGGGCTTTGGGCTGGAGCTTTCCTGCCTCTCCTGGTGCTTCCAGCGGTGGGTACCCTGTGTCCGGTAGGAATGTGGCCAGTGACAGGATGGAAAACAGATAGAAAATGGCAAAACTCCCCTGCAGAAGTGCCCTGAGGCAGGAGAATGATTAGATGGAAATCAAGCCCCTGTCCCCCGCCCTCACAGAGCCTGGGCACTAAGTGCAGGTAATTAAAGCTCCTCCATTAATTACAGTTGCTCTGCTCCATTGGCCATTCACTAGCATTGCAGAAGGGGGCAGAGTTGGAGCGGGTCAACCCTTCCCTGGGAGGCTGCAGGGAGCAGGAGGAGCAGCCCTAGAGCAGCCCCAGCTGCCGGGCGGGGAGGAAGGCTCATGCTGCTCCTCGCCTCGCCCACAAGCTTTCCTTTCACGGAGGCAGGTAAAGTGCAAAACAGAAAAGGGGCTTCAGGTGTGAGGGGCAGGAAAGCCGAGACAGGGCTCGGCCAAGGCCTCGGGAGGGGCTGAGCGGGTCCCCCCTCCCAGCCCGTGAAGCTTCTGGCCAACGCAAGTCAGGGCTTGGCGGGGTTGTTGTCTTCGCTCTTTAATTAGTCATGTTAAAGTACTGAGCACCAGGTCCCCCTCGAAGCAAACAATAAAAGGCACACACAGAAAAGAACGTAAAAGGCCAAACGGCCAAGAAAAACTAAGGCTGGCTTTGACTGGCGCTTCCCGGAGCCGGTGCTCGGAGCGGGGTTGGCAACGGTGCTGGGCTGGGGAGGAGCAAGGGAAGCAGGGGGAGCAGGAGCCGCCCCAGCCTGTGGCAGCGGCTGGGATCCCCCCGAAGCAACTGGCCCCTCGGCACATCCGTGGTTGGAGTTAAAGGCAGAAGGGGAAGAGGGGAGGCCCGGGGGGCCCTGGGCATGAGGGGCCAGGTCGGGGACGGTGCCTCCGCTAGCCGCTCGCTGCGGCTCGGAGCACCCGAGGGGCTGGGGACAGCAGCTTTGGAGCCGGCGGTGTCTCGGCTTGGCCCTCAAACCTCAACCCCCACATTTGTGACAAGGGCAATGTGGGGAGAAGATGCTTGGGCAGAAAGAGCTGCAGCTCAGAGGGCTCCAAGGCCCAGCGCCAGGCGGCTGGCACCAGCACAGGAAGGAGGGGCGAACAAGGGATGCACGTTATAAATATAAAATCGTATCTGCTACAAACAGAAGACGTATATTGTACATCTTTGACCCATATACACAAGAACACCATATACACAGAACACCTCGGGGGAGCAGAGGCCAACGGGGCGGCCCCCACATGAAGAGTCYAGTGAAGCTGCCGCGTGTCGCTCCAGGCCCCAGCTCCCGGCGGGATCCCCGCACCGGGACGCGGAGGCGCCTGCAAAGTGCGCGGGGCTGCGGGAGCCAAGCTCGGCTGGCAGCAGCAGCGCGCCCCGCTGCCCTGCGGGGAAGGGGCCGGGCAGGTCTCCAATAAGGCATCTTCCATGGGGAGGTGGATGGAAGGGGGGCCGGCGGGGCACTGTGGGCACCTCCACGGCTCCGCTAGCAGCTGCACAGGAACGTCCCTCAGGGGCAAGGCGGCCACAGTGGCACGAGTCAGCCGAGAGAGGTGTCATCCTTGGCTCAGTTTCTTGGTTAAGCTGCTCCATGTGTCTCCCCCCCAGGCCCTCTCCAGCTTCTGGTTCCGGCCCCTGGCACGGCAGGAAATACTGACAGTCGGTGGAGTGGCACATCCAGGTGCATGGAGTGGCAGCCAGGCACACGCAAGAGTTAAGACAAGAGTTGATGGGAGCTTTGTACAGCGAGGAGCGGCTCGCAGCCGGAGTGTCCGAGGACGTGGAGGACAAAATGCCACAGTGATCAGATAGGGCCAGGACGARAGGTGGGCGCAGGGAAGAGGAGCAAGTCGAGTCCTGGCACCTACCGCCGGTAATGATTGGGGGCATCTGCAAACATGTACTTGAGTCGGTAAGCTTCAGCGAGCAGGAGTCCAATCTCCTCGTTGCCCCAGTGGATGGTCGGGAGGTTTTGTAAGAGCATGAGAAGGCCCTGAAAGAGCGGCAGGTGCTTGGGAGGCGCTCGGAGGCTCAGTGCACCTCCAACCCAGGCTCAACAATTATTTGGGAGCAGAGATCCCGAGACTGGAAGATTCRAGATGGGCCCTGACTGCACTGACACTGGACTTGGGTCCAGGGCAATCCCCTCCCCTCTTCCCTAAGGGAATCATAGAATCATAGAATGTCCAAGGTTGGAAGGGACCTCAGAGGTCATCTAGTCCAACCCCCCCGGCACACGCAGGGTCACCTAGAGCACGTGGCACAAGGCTGCATCCAAGTGGGTTTTAAAGATCTCCAAAGAAGGAGACTCCACAACCTCCCTGGGCAGCCTGTKCCAGGGCTCTGGCACCCTCACTGTCAAAAAGTGTTTTCTCAAGTTCCTGTGGAACTTTTGGTGCCTCAGCTTGTG